AAAATGCTCATAATATGCTACATGGAAAAGAGTATATATCATGTATACATGTTATGTAAATGTAAACATATATCATATGATTCTCTCTGTACATATTCTATATAAAGAGATAGATATATATATATTATACATATTATATAAATCATCCCAATTTTGTATATATCCATACACCAAAATGTCAATGGTGAATATTTCTGGCAGGTGGGATTATAGGTTGCTTTTTTTTTTTTTAAGATTTTATTTATTTATTTGACAGAGAGAGCAAGACAGCAAGAGAGGGAACATAAGCGGGGGAGCAGGAGAGGGAGAAGCAGGCTTCCCGCTAAGCAGAGAGCCCGATGCGGGGCTCAATCCCAGGACCCTGGATCATGACCTGAGCTGAAGGCAGACGCTTAATAACTGAGCTACCCAGGCGCCCCTATGGGTTGCTTTTATTTTCTTCTTTAGGCTTTCATATATTCCAGTATTTAGGGATTACTACCAGAATCATATCACATCAGAAGGCACACAAAGTCAGTTTTTTTTTTATGGCTAGTGATGCTAAGTTTGGCCACCTGGTTAAAGTGGGTTCCTCCAAGCTCTTCACTCTAAAGGGAACTTTTCCCCTTTACTAACTAATCTTTAGGGTGAGGCTTATTTGAGAGCAGTTGCATCTCCTATTTCCCTACAACTTGTTACTCTATGCAAGTAGCATCCACTATGATCCTGCCAGAGGCAGTTAGTTCATTGAGGGTTACACCATGGTTATTTTCTTCTACATTTATCAGCTGACATTCTTCGGTGAAGATGAGCTTCCCTCTCCCACACTTTTAGTATTACTATGGATTCATGGATTTCTCCTCCTCCTTTATGTTACTGCTATTATTGACTCGCAGATGTATTATTATTACTATTATGATTATTTAATGTGTTACAACCATTGCTTGTACTCTTCGTAATGCTCAAACTCTCCCAAATATGACTGCTGGGTTTCCCTTCAAGCCAGTTACTGTGTCTCCATCACTCTTTGAACACCCTCCTACTTTCTGTAGCAGCTCACCTTGTCCTAGATGTGGATTTGGCCACCTCTCCAAGAAGTTCCAGTTTCTTTTAGCAGGTTGTGGTATATAGAAACCAAGATCTGAGTGCTAAGTGTGTTCACTGTCACCAGGTTCATTGCTTCTAGGTCCTTTCAATGAACAGAGTCAGGAAACTGGGAAATATAAACATAAATGCGTGTGTGTATGTGTGTGTGTGTGTGTATGACGAGCTCATATCCATACCTCCAATTCAATACAATATCATGTAGTTCTTTGTCCTTTCCCCTACTCCAGATCTGTATCCACCTACCTCCATGGTGAGAACCCTGGTTCCCAACTTCAATATAATTCCTTATCTATTCTATCCTATAATACACCCCAAACAGTTTCAGATTATGACACCAATACTCATATGGAGTCTGTGTTATTAACACTAATATTTCAGCTAGTTTTCTCTGCCCTTCAGGATGATAACCTGTCAACCATTCATTTCCTTAAATAATTATTGAATTTAGAAGAGCAAATTCCTTTCATCTTCAGTCCATAATTAAAAGTAACTTCGATGTCAGCTGGTACAACTTTGCCCTTAGAGATCTAGATCTAATTCCATGACCTAGGTACAAAGCCAAAGCTGGGACATCTGCCAACTCCTGGTGGTTTGCTTCCTCAGGTCTGATCCTGCACACACTGCACCGTGACAGGAGACTCACAGCCCCTCAAGATCCGCCCCCCCAAATAGTCTACTCTTGCAGAGATTTCAAGAACCAGGCGGACTTTACTGGCAACTTCCCAGGAATGATGGCGGAGGGGACAACAGTACAACACGTCAACTTTCACAGCTCAGTAGGCATGACCAGTCTCAAGAAAGCCCCAGCCACTGGCCTCTCAGCTCTTCCCAGATGCTTGCTCTCCTTCCCACTGTTACTCCCTCTTCCTTTTCTCTCCTCTCGGCAGGATCAAAAAGCACCATTCTTCCCCCTCTCTCAAGCAGACCAATCTCCTCCCTTGAAGCCTTGCTCAAGACATTCTTAGGACAAAGACAGCCTTCTTCCTAAGAGAAATTACGGTGAATGAAATTTCCTCCACCTCTTTACACATACAAGGGTTGGAATCTTTTTAAAGCTTGGTCAGTTATAAATGACAAACAAATTGCTGCAAAACTCTCTCAAGATGAGCCTCTCCATCGACTCAGTGAACGCCTCTCAGAACCAGGTCCCCACCAGATGGCTCAAGCTGCCCAGCATCTTTCGACCTCAAGAACCTCTGGCTTCCAGAAGAACCACCTCCTCATGTCTCCACAAACCTATCCTCCACACAGGCAAAATGGGCTGTCCAGATCTCTTCCAGCGGGGTGTCCACCACCCCACACTCCCTCCCAGAATACCAGCCAAGGACCCTGAGAGAGAAACAGTGCTCTGTAGACATCAGTCTGCAGTCTCAGTCTGTGGACTGAGCCCAGCAGAAGGGGAGCTCGGCCCTCCTGGCAGTGCCACAGTTCATTGGGGAGAGCCTCAGGTAACAGACTCTCCTCTCCACTTCTAATTTCTCATTGCTTCCCTGCCAATGGCCTTGCTAAGCAACCTGCCTGGACTAGAACCAGTGAGTCATGGCCCTTCCTGAGTTTTTAGGGCTCAGATGATAATCTTCTATGGGCAAAAACTTTCCAAAAGGCCAGCATGTAGTGCTGGAAACAGTCCCCAGTCAGGGTGCGGGGCGGAGGGGGGTGGGGAGGTATGGATCTTTCCAGGAAGCCTATCCAAATCACTGATGAGGGGAGGGGACATGAGAAATTTGAAAAATATTCCAAAATTGCTGTTGTATTGGTGATTTTTCTAGCCAGTGTATCGTTCAGTTGCTTTGACGTGTCAATTGCTGGTAGGAGACACAGGTCAAAATGGTTTAGTGATGTACAAGAATATTGGGGCCATTCAAAATGCAAGAGAGATGTGGTACAAGGAGAATAGGAAATGAAAGCGTCTGGGAATGAGAAGAGGGTGGACGGGGGAGGAGGGAGGGTGGAGGCCCCCTGGGACCACTGGCGCACCGCCCTGTAGCTGCCCATCCGTCCTCAAAGCCCCTGCCTGCTCGTGGTAATCTGGGGAGCACTGAAGTACCTCCCGACCTTCTGTCCCCCTCCATCATTTCTCAACATGCCTCAAAACCACCATCTGCACCTATCCTCTGAGTTAAGCACTGGCCTCTGTGGTCTTCTCCATCAAGCAGGTGGCATTTCTGCTGGGATTGATGTTACAATTTTATCTAGTTTTGCACCATTCTGGAGCTTTCTTTAAAAAGATACATAACCTGGGCTAGGTAAGTAGTTTCTCTAGCGTGGTGCTTTTCCAAATTTTTATGTAGTCACATTGATTACTCCTCAGGAGAATCCAGAGCCCAGAGCACAGCAGCCTTGCCCTTAAGAGGTGGTAGACCCAGAGGGACAGGTGAAGTCGGCCAGTACAATACCTGTGCCCTTTGTCCTCGCTGAGATGCGGTAGGAAGCCACATATCAGGGTAATTCCGACATTTCACATCACTGGGCTGCTTTCCCATGCCCAGTGGGGATTGTTCTCGGCCCAGGCGCCCAGAAGGCCTTGTGCTTCTTTCCATCATGGCTCAATGACTTTCCTTGGGATAGGTGGGGGCCCAGCACAGGAGCTCAGGCCCTCTGCCCACTGGGTAATCTTGGGATTGTTACCTGAACAGGATGCAAACTGGCTAAGAACAAGGGTTCTGGAGACAAGCTTACCTGCGTCACACACTGACTCCACCCCTGGCCAGCACCATGTGCATGAGACTTACCTTCTGTCTGTTTCCTCGTCTGTAAGACGGAGCTTAGAATAATCTCTACCTCGTAGGGTTGCTTTGAGTTAATCTGATGAGCTAATGCATGTAAAATGCTTACGACACTGCCTTGCTCACAGTAGGTGCTTAATAAAGATCTGCGATTTTATACGTGCATGCATTGCTCTACACATACAAAGGCTATCAAGACATACTTCTTAGGATGGCTGAAATAAGTCTGGCAATAAAGTTAAATGTGACGATAAAATGTTGGTGAGGATGTGGAGCAACTAGAACACTGCGGATGGGAATGTTAAATGGAGGGCCACTCTGAACAATGGTTTGGCAGCTTCCTATGAAGTTAAACACACATTTACCACAGTTACCATATGAGCTAGTGATCCATTCCTAGTTATTTACTCAAGAGAAATGAAAACATACGTCCACACAAAGAATGCTCATAGCGTTTTATTTATCATAGCCCCAAACTGGAAACAGCCCAGGTGTTCATCGACAAGTAGAGGGAAAAACAAATTCTGGAACATCCTTTCAATGGAATACGAGTCAGCAGAGAGAAGTCACCAACTCCCGATACATGCAGCAACATGGATGAATCTCAAAAGCATAATGCTAAGGAAAAGAAGCCAGACGCACAAGACCACGTACTGTAGGATTCCATTTCTATGACATTTCAACCAGGAGAACAGGAGGGGCAGAGAACGGATGAGTGGTGGCCAGCGGCTGGCAGGAGCAGGGGAGGAACTGTCTAACTGAGCCTGAGCGAACACTGTAGGGTGATGGATGGAAGTGTCCTACAGCCTCGTGGTGCTGGTGGCTACATGACCGCATCTGTTTGTCAGAACTCGGAACAGCACACATACCAAAGGTAAACTCTACCTTAGGAAATCTAACATTACCTACGAGAGGAGGGAATTGGGTAGGGAGAGTATATAAAGGATACTTTTTTATTCCACTTAAACACACCGTACCACTTGAACTTTTGTCATGAGCGTGTCATTCAGGCCCTGGGTAATAACTTCATTAGAGTATGAAGTCATAATGATGCTATATATCCACTTTGAAGGGATGCTGTAAGATGCAAATGGAATGAGATAATGTGTATACAGCATGTGCACAGACGACCCATGAATCTTCTAAAGTGACAAGGGGCCTCCACTGAGAGTGACACCCACAACTTACCTCAGTGACAAAGAGTGTGCGAGGATCGATAATATCCAAGAAGTGCCTGAATCGACCGTAGAAGGATGTCTGGAGAAGGGGGTGGGAGAGGAGAGCAGATCAGCTGCTGTAGACCACCCTCCAGCCCCCGTGGACCACACCCCACAGCTTACCCTTCTCATTGGGGTCCCACCACCCCCAGGACTCCCCACGTGATGAATGCCGGTGAGGCCTTGCTTCTCAGTCACCTGAGGGCAGCTTTCCAAGGTCTGAAGTCTTTTTAAAGTCAACTCATAAAGACCATTAAGATACTCGGTGACTGTCCCGGGTCCTCTTCAGGCTGCCTCCCATTTTCCTCCTTCTTCCCCCAATTCTCCGAGACCCCCTCCAGCCTTCCACAGTGCCCCAGCACCAGTGAGCACACAGGCTGAAGGAGAGGCCTGGGCCCAGCCCTCTCCCAGCCTTCCTTGTGCACCACAGCCTCCCTTGCCTTGCTTTGGACCTCTCAAGTATAGGGAGGGTCCGCCTCCAAGCTCCAGCTCAAGCATGACGGCACCCAGCTCACAGCCCTCAAGCCCTCCTTTACCCATAGCCCTGGAGCGGCTGTGAGGCTCAGTACAGGGGCCTGCTTGCCCTGGCCTTGCCAGGGTCCCCAGAAAAGGAGGGCTTTGTGCAAAGCAGGCCACAGGCATTAGCCCACAATGAAGGGAAATGGAGCAATGAGCAACACTGCTACTGGGCCCTCTGCCCTAGGGAAAAAGCCAAGCTCAAGGAGGTGAGAAGGTGCCAAGCTAGAGGACAAAGGGGAAGCTGCACACACTCAGGGTTCATGCCTCGCTACACTCCGGGCTTTGCCCCAAGTCCTCCCTAGAGCCCCATAGCTCTCCCCGCACCATCCTCTGCACGGTGAAGGAAGCAGAAGCCTCCACACTGCCCCCGCCCCCGCTTGCTCATTAGGACGCCAGACCCTACAGCCACGGTCTGCTGCTTTCTCTTCCCAATAACGACCCTGCAATAATTCCCTGAAAGCCCCCTGTGCATACCAGGCCCCATGCTGCTCTGCTCACCAGGACACCCCCTGCATGGAGCACGCACCCTCTCCACCCCACCCTCCACCCCTTGAGGTACTGCCATTCACATACCAGATCAAGCTTCGGCACTATTCCTTAACTAAAACTGTTGCTTCTCTAACCGCTTGTAACTCAAAGGGCCTAAACCATTTCCCCACTTATACATAATGCTCACACTGCTGTCCTGGCAAAATTTCCCCTCTAAGTATTTAGTCTAAGGAAGCAACCAGAGACGTTCAGAGGCGTGGTCAGAAGTACATGCTGATGATGCTCACTGCTGCATTATTTACGAAGGTGGATGGTTCGGTAAATAATGGTCCACTCATATGACTGAACACTATGCAACCATCTAAAATCATGTTTTCAGACATTTATGACATGAAAAAATGCTTATGATTTTGTGAAATGCATACTTACAGGGTAATGCCAACTTAAAAAAAACGAGATAGATGGACAGTAAGTGGATAGCAAAGACACACAATGACATCCAGACCCTGGTCTACTAGAATGAACTGGGGGTCCTTAGAGAAGTGGCTGATTCCAGGGCTGGGGAAGGGAAAGGACAAGACGAAACTGGTCCACCTTGTTAGGCCAGAAAGTAATGAAGCTGCCAGCCCACCAAATGATGGGGACATGTTAAAAGGACCGATGAGGGGCAGATGGACATGGTGTGCCTCTGGATGGGACACCCTGAGAAATTCATGGCATCACTCAAATAGCATTCTGGAGGGACTGACGCTAATCATGAGTAGACATCGGCACACCCAAACTAAGGTGCATTCCATAAAATGACCAGCCTTGTTCATCGAAGATGTCAACGTCATCAAGACAAAAACTGAGGAATGGGGCCGCATGAAAGGAAGCTAAAGAAACAAGACAACTACACATATCTGTGATTCTGGACTGTCTCACGGAAAGATGCTCTCAAGGACATTACTGAGAGAACTGACAAAACTGGAATAGGGATCATGGATTAATAAAAGTATTCGATCCGTGTTAGATTTCTGAGTGTCATAACTATACTTGAGGTTATTCCTAAACACTGAATGTGGGTGCCCCTCCCCAAATTCACATGTTAACCTGACACCCAATGTAGTGGTTTTTCGAGGTGGGGCCTTTTGGAAAGCAGTTAGATGAAGGCAGAATGACATCAGTGCCCTTGTAAGAGTCCCCGGAGGGCCCCTGGTCCTTCCACCATGTAAGAACCCAGAAGACGGATGTCTATGAACCAGGAATCAAGCTGTCACCAGACAACGAATCTGCCAGGGCCTTGAGCTTAGACTGCCCAGCCTCCTGAACTGTGAGAAATTCATTTTTGTTGTTTATAAGCCACCTAAGTCTATGGGATTTTTGTTATAGCGGCCCGAATGGACGAAGACAGAAATGTCAGAATGCCCTCGTTCTTATGATACACGAAAGTAGTCAAGGGATAAATGAATATAACCTACTCTCAAATGGCTGAGAAAAATAACGTGTAAATACAGAGGGCGACAATGCAATCTGGAAATGTGGGTACTTCTGGTTTCTTTACAGACTGAAGACGTCCTTGGTGATATCATGTATATTTGCTACGTTTCTGGACGTGTGTGTGTGTGTGTGTGTGTGTGTGTGTGTTTCTGGACTTTTTGATCACCTGTAGACAAAAAGAATAATAAAGGAAGTGCGACAAAAATGCTAAAAACCAGTGGATCTAGACAAAGGGTATATGAAAGTTCTCTTTATTCTTTTTTTAAAAAAGATTTTATTTATTCATTTGAGAGACAGAGCACAAGCAGGGGCAGAGGGAGAAGGAAAAGCAGATTCCTTTCTGAGCAGGGAGCCCGACATGGGGCTTGATCCCAGGACCCCAAGATCACAACCTGAGCCAAAGGCAGACACTTAACCATCTGAGCCACCCAGGTACCTCAAGTTCTCTTTATTCTTATTGCAACTTTTCTGTAAGATTGAAACTGCTTCAAAATAGAAAGTACAAAATTATTTATTTTAAGTTAGATGAAAATATATTAAAATGTTAACAGAGATTGACTCTGGGTAATAGGAATATGGGTGATTTTTATTTCTTTTTAAAATGAAAAAAAAAAGAACAAGCGTTCTGTGTAATACACAGGAGTAATATTCTATTTTAAAAATAATTTAAAATACTATCTAATATATTACTTGATTACAAGCTCCTGAAGGAGGTAGGCTGTTGGGTGTTCCTTCCATAGCCTCATCCTCCCTGGCTCCTAGTTTCCTGTCTCACACCTAGAAGGGACCCCAGCAACATCCCTGCCACAAGAATGAATGAGTGGGCAGGTGAGCAGCCTATGGCCTGGAGGGGATGGAGCCCAGGCAGGGCTTCCAAGGGAGACTAGGACTTGAAAGGGACAATAGCATGACAGTTAGTGGCCCAAGGAGGGAAGAGGAGCGGCAGGGACAGAGATGGGGGCCTGGAAAGAGAAAAGTCCCCTTTGTCATTCGACACCACGGCCACTGAGAGAGAGGGCCTTGGTGAAACACTTTGTTCCATAGTTACCCTCACCCACTTCTGAGCTGGGCTCAGGGAACACCACAGTGAACAAGCGTTAGAGAAGCCCAGTCCATCAAGAAAGATAAGTAAACAAGTAACTACAAAATACTGTGATCAGAGCTTAAAGGAAGCATCATGAAGTGCAGTGAGGACACAGATGATTTCTTCGTAGTGAGTCAAGGAGGCTTCCCAGAGGCACTGGGATGGGTGGACGGATGAGTTTACCAAGCAGAGAGGGGTATCCACAAGGACTCTGATGCATGAAGGCTGGACTCAGAAACTGCACCACTGTCAGCCAAAGGAGGGACTGAAGTATGACAAAAGACATTTTAGAAAAAAAGGCCAAGAACAGAGAGGGTCTGCCTGGAATGCTTTGATAATTTTTTAAAAACTACTTATTGTAGTGCCCTGGGGAACTAGTTGTATTACTATATTCAGGCAATCTATATGCATTAAATACCTACTATGTCCAAATAACTGAACTGAGAAGGGCAAGGCAAACAAGATAAAGATCCATCCCCAGCCCTACACAATCCTATCACCTAGTAGAAAATTTCAAAAATTAAAAGAAGAGCAACTGCACCAGACTTCTGCGGTTTTATTCATTCATTCACGAAATAGCTACTGAGGACCTACTGTGTGCCGACCACTGCGCTGGGTCCTGGGGTACAGCAAGGGGCTGCCTGACCGGGGGAATGAGGAAGAACAGAATGTGGATAACGCCTCGATTTCTAGTTAGATACTAAGGCCTATTAATCGGGACAGGGAAGACAAGAAGTATACGACTTAGTGGCAGGGAAGACAAAAGTTCTGGATTGGTCATGTGAGTTTGAAATACTTAAAGGGCCTTGCAGATGTAACATTTCAATAAGCACTGCAAACAGAGACCTGAGATTCGAGAAAGGGGTTCTGAGTTGTAAATGCTAAGCACAGATGATAGTGTACTAATCCAATCAGCCTAAGACCCCCCGGGGACAAAGTTACGTCTACTGACTCACTGCAGTGAGGGAGGCCACACAACAGAGGAACTGTGGGGCACATCACCAAACAAAGGGAAAATTCAAGTTAGTATAGAATTCTGGGCAAACTTCGGCTCAGGTCATGATCCCGGGGTCCTGGGATTGAGCCCCGCATCCGGCTCCCTGCTCAGTGGGGAGCCTGCTTCTCCCTCTCCCACTCCCCCTGCTTATGTTCCCTCTCTCGCTGTGTCTCTGTCAAATAAATAAATAAAATCTTTTAAAAAAAATATTCTGGGCAAAGTTGGAGGAAAATTTAAATGACATGATGCTTTAATAGGCTCAAAGCAAAGCTATGAGGCAAAGGGGTCCATCTAGGTCTCGACTGAGAAATAGCCACAGGGTCTTGTTTCCTTAGAAACTGTAAGATTAAGATCAATGTGGAAGGTTGTGTCCAGAAACTGCTTATTTGAAGCACTGCACTTGGGTTAATCTCTGAGTCAAAGTGACTTTAGGCCCACCTCTGAAGAGGGGGATGTTTCATTCCTACTGATA